AGCAGGGGGTGTGGGTGGGGGGAGAGCCCAGGGCTGGGGCAGCAGGGGGTGCGGGGGGGGGAGGAAGAGCCCAGGGCTGGGACAGCAGGGGGTGCAGGTGGGGGCCAGGGCTGGGGTGGCAGGAGATGTGGGTGGGGAGAGAACCCAGGGCTGGGGCAGCAGAGGGGTGCGGGGGGAGCCCAGGGCTGAGGTGGGGGGCGGCAAAAAACCTAGAGCTGGCTCTGTTCCTACCATTGCAGCATGAGGTTGCAGTTCTACACTCCTTCCCCCTCCCTTTCCTGTTAATTTTGGCCAAGGGAATGCTGGGAAATGTAGTTCTTTCCCTGCTTCAGGGCTGGCTCTATAGGCAGGGAGCTAACCAAAGAACTACAGCTCCCAGGGCTCCCTGTTGGTTCTCAGCTCTCATGCTGGATTCTTGTGCCCCTGCAAATTTGCCACCCCAAGCACCTGCTTGCTTTGCTGGTGCCTAGAGCCGGCCCTGTCTCTTCCACAGTCTTCAAGCTCTGCTCCTGTCTCTTTCTCAGTGCCCAGCATTCAGAGCCATACAAAAGTGCAGGCCTAATTACCGTCTTACAGATCTTACTTTTCAATTTGATAGGTATTCTCCTATTGCAGGACACTCCATTCACTTTTCTCCATTTAGGCAATGCCCTTCCTGTTCTGCTCATAAGTTCATCATTGAGTTCACCATTATCTTGTATTATAGGATCTAGTGACTTGAACTTCTGTACTTTTGATGGTGGCTGCCTCCCTCCCAGACTCACCATCTGGCTGTCTTCCTGCAAAGATCAGATGCTGTTTTGTTTCTGCTGATTTTCATTCCATTTTTTTTCCACTCTACCCCTCCATCTCTCTAAATCTTCTTCCACTTCTGCTTTGATCTCCCCCCTGAGCATTACCTCATCTGCACAGCGCATGCACCAGAGTGCCACTCTCAGGATCATAGGAGCTGACTCCCTGGGGGCTCTTGGGCTCAAGCACCTATGGAAAAAAATAGTGGGTGCTCACCACCCAGGAGTAAGAGCTTGGGCATGGAATGTGATGAGTTCTGTGCTGCTAACAACTTCTGCCCTTGGAGCAGGGAGTTTGTTTATAAACAGAGGTAGGGCGATTAAGCTAACAAAAGGCTTGTCATTAAATTAATTTAAGGATCCTTAGCTGATCCTGAAAGCATTCCCAGGCATTCCAGTTAAAATATAGGAAACAAAGGGTAGGAATAAATGGTCCCTTTTCAGAATGGAGAGTAGTAAATAGTCTGTCCCCCAGGGGGTTGTACTGGTCTGGGATCAGTGCTTCAACGTACTCATAAATGATCTGCAAAAAGGGGTAAACAGTCTGCAAAGAATTACAAAGGGATCTCACACAACTGGGTGACTTGGCAACAAAATGGCAGGTGAAATTCAATGTTAAATGCAAAGGCAATGTTAAAGGCAAAATATAATCCCAACAATACATACAAAACGATGGTGCCTAAGTTAGCTGTTACCCATCAAGAAAGAGCTCTTGGAGTCATTTGCACTACTCTGGAGCACTATGTTTCCAGAGTACTGTAAATTCATAAGAATCCTTCTCACTGTGTCTGTATCATCCTAAACTGCGGAATGCCCATTCTCCTGCTTCAGAAGACTTAAAAATTATCTCCAGTCATCAGTGGGACAGATGCAACTGAATAATGTAGCTGTCCTTAAAGTGCATCAACATAATACCAGGGAACCTAGATAGAAATAAGATTGCTGACAGTTTCATCCAGAAAGCTACAGTGAGGGATAATGCCTTTAAACTGGGATGTTAGTGAAGACAGCTTGTAGGAGGTTGCAATGATTTTAATATACTGCAATTCATGATAACGTAATGATGTAGTTCATAACAATGTAAATCATTATTAAAATAGTAAAGTTACCAATGAGAGACACATTCAGTAACTAGACTATGAAAGAAGTGTATAAATATGCTGAAAAAGCCTCCCCCCAAACTGGCAGAGTGCCCCCCCCAAACACACACACCTCTTCAAAAGCACCCACCAGCAAAAGCAGAAGTCAGCGCCTATGCTCGGGATGTCTTCTCTAAGTGCATCAAGTACCAAGGTGAACAAAAAGGGGCTTAGAGCCAACCCCGATGTACTCCAACTTCTACTAGAAACTGCCAGGTATCAGAAGGGCAGCCGTGTTAGTCTGTGTCCACAAAAACAACAAGGAGTCCGGTGGCACTTAAAGACCAACAGAATTATTTGGGCGTAAGCTTTTGTGGGTAAAAGTGGTTTTTTTTTTACCCACGAAAGGTTATGCCCAAATAAATCTGTTAGTTTTTTTACTAGAAACTGCTGTTTCTCCACATGGCCTTCTAACTGTGGCAACAGCATCCTCATTTTATGTCCGGCCCAAGTCTGAAATAGTCTTCAGGTATCTCTTTTATTTTCATACACCACCACATGCCTTCTCTCGGATCACAGCCATAAGCCTTCTCAAGACTGGTGAATCCCACATGCCGGGTTTCCCCCTTTTCTCTGTGGTTTTGCAAAAACAATCTTAAGGCAAAGATAAAATCCATTGCTGACTTGCCTGGCACAAATCCAAACTGATTGTCACTGTTTCCCCATCTGTATAATGGGGATAATGATCCTGATCTCTTTTGTAAACTGCTTTGAGAGCTCTCTGGTGAAAAGCATTAGAAAATAGCTGGGTATTGTTTTCTTTGCACACTGGGCCCCTCAGCTCAGGAGTGAGTGTGGGTCACAGGGAGGTGTGGTGAACTTTGCACTCTTTGTGGTATGCTTCACGAGGTCTACAGATAGATTCTAGGGTTCCTGCTGGACTTCACTGGAGCCCAGCAATTCACTTCATAATTGCTTCAAAAGATGAATGCCACCTGTGCATTTTTTCTCACCAATATTGGGTGTTTATATATCTACACAGACACAGACTGCCCTCTGCTGGTCGAACCATATATCACAACTCACATATTTAGCAGTGATACAGTTCCATCTAGTGGCAATCATGCAAATGGGAGGTAAAAGTAACCAATGACTTTGAAAGCAAGAGAGGTTGTGACAGAGTCAACTGTCACATGGAGAAAAGCAACAAGGACAACATAAACCAACAAACCCCAGGCAGCTATAGGTGGTCCAGATGGTTCTATCCAACTCTGGCTCTAACCAACTCCCCTGCGGCGGCTGCTAGGAATGGGAGAGGTCAGGCCCATATAAGGCAGACCCGGCTCATGCCAGAGGTGGAAGGGCTGCTTCCATCGCTGCTTCTTAAAGGATGGGCTGGTGAGAGTTGGGAGTGTGGGGACTGATAGTGATCCAGGAAGGCTAGAGTGGAGTCCAGGAGCAGGGCAGGATGGAGTGGAGAACATGACCAATCCTTGGAAAGGAAGGTAGAAAAAAAGAGTCACCGATGCTCATTATTGTTTGTTTGTTTGTATTACTGTAATGCCTAAGGGCCCTAGTCTGGACTGGGGCTGGTTAACAATACCAGCTTTGGAG